CCCTCATCCATGCAGTGTAAACAGCTGACATAGGAAATAGAAGGAAACTACAGGTCCAAATATTCATTAGGAAGTATTTGAAGCCTAAAATGGATATCCATGGAAAGGAATGACACACTTTTCCAGCAAACATTTCAAATTTATGTTATTAAGCTATTACTCAGTACTAATATCATGTACAGTTTTTTTTCTCAGATAAATGTTTCAGAAGCTGCTGTAGTTCACCCAGCATTCATGGAGCACTTAAAACTTATAATTTTAAATAAGGAGAAGCCCATAGAAGAGACTTGACCTTATTCAAATGGCTGAGGAAGCTCTGTGAAAACAAATGAAGTGTTGGGTACAATTGTTAAATGTTAAAAGAATCCTTGGTTAGCTACAAGTATTATATTGATGCTAAATGCCCTGAATTTGATCATCATATGAAGGCCATATAAGACCTTAGAAAAAAATATACAACATATATAGAAAAAAGGGTTGTGATGGCTTAGTATAATCTCAAACACTGAAAGAGAGAGAATAAGTTCTTGTTGTTCACAGCTGTGTTCTACATAGAAACCAGTGGTAGAAACCATGAGGGAGAGGGAAAGAAGTTGATGGGGTCAAAATTATTAAAAAGTCCAAGTACAATATATATGTACGAAAACAGCATAACAAACCTCATAAAAAACAGTAAAAGAGAGGTGGAGAAGGGAGGTTAGGAAGGAGTGATATCAATGGGGTGAATTTTATCAAAGCGCATTGTATGAATGTCATATTGCAATGAAACACCTCTATACAACTAATTTATGCTAATTTAAAAGGTAAAAGAGACAAGTGAATTCAGGGAAAAGTAAAAACTTTTACATAGAAAGTGTACTTTTCCATGATCATGGGAAAAGGCATGCATATATTTCAGTGTTCTTTGATTATTCTACAGAACATGTTGAATTGAAGCCCTTTTATACAACATGTAAAGAAATTTTTAAAAAGAATCAAACAATTAAAATTATTACAATACCTCTGCAGCATGTAAAAACAAAGGATGAAATTTCTTCATGTATTTTGTTCTTCATAAGAAAAGATATCACCTCACACTTGCTAAGATGATTACTACTACAAAAGATAAATGTTAGTGGGAATGTGGAGAAATCAGGACACTTGTATACTGTTGCTAGGGATGTAAAATGGTGTACCTACTATGCAAAACAGTATGTAGGCTTCTCATAAAACTAAACATAGAATGATCATATGAATTTTCTGGGAATGTATCCAAAAGAGAATCAGATCACAGACTTCTGCACTAACATGTTCACTGAAGCATTAATCAGAACAGCGCTGATATGAAAAGAATATAAATGAATGAAGAAAACATGATGTGGATGCATATATATTTATATACACCCCCATAGGATATTAATATTTCACAAAAGAAGGAAATCCTGTTTGTGCCTACATGGATGCAGCTGGAGGTTATGTATTATACTAAATGAAATAAGCCAGGTATAGAAGGACATGCTGTCTGGTGCTATATGAGGTATCTGAAATAGTGAAGCTCATAAAAAAAGGAAGTAGACTGGTGGTTACCAGAGGCTTAAGGTAAGGTAAATCAACAGTTGCTATTTATTGGGTTTAAAAGTTCAGCTGTACAAGATTAATAAAATCTAAACATCTTCTTTACAGTATGGTACCTATAGTTGATAATATTTTATTGCACAAATTTGCTATGTGCCTTTTTTCATATCAATTATACCTCAATAAAGCTGTTTTTTTAAAGAGTTACCCTATAGCTATGTCTTTGCAGATTGGAAGACTACCTTGAGAAGCAAAGGAGGTGTTGAAAGAGTCAATGTCTCATACTCTGAAATGATTCATTTTGAGTCATATTTTTTTCTAAAATGGGCAGGCATTTGATTGTTTACATTACTGCAATGACACACACTGGTGTGTACTTAGCAGTCAATCTTGAACAAATGGGAGTAAATTCTTATAAAAACAATCCATATGATTGGACAGTTGCTATTTGGTAAAGTTGATTCTTAGAATTCTCAAATATCTTATTCTACAGAAGAATTCTATGGTGATGTTACTAAACTCCAATCATAATAAAATCATTTACAAATTTATTTTTAAAATATTCCTTTTCATTTCAATGAAAAGACCATGTAGGATTGTATAAGGAATGAAATGCAAGAAAAAATTGAAAAATTAATTTATTATATGGAAAACATACATAACATTTGAGTCAAGGACTCGGAGAAGCATTCTATAAAAGCTCACATCCACAACAACACACAGGCTGAAGAGTATTGGCACATGCACTCATAACCATAGCACTAAAATTCTAAGGTTGTTTCCAAGGAAATGCTGTATCCAACAAACAATTTCAATACTTATTTTCCCATTTACAAGGCTGAAAAGATTATACTCATATCCAATAAATGATTTCAAACAGCCATTCAAGTTGTAATACACAATTATCAAAAGATGTCACATCCTTTATGAAAGACAATATCTATAAGATAAATTCATCTGCCATACTTTCTCAAATTCATTGGGTCCTTTTTCTTCACATAACATGGATTTGTGTGTTAATTTTTGTAAACAACTGATTTTTTAAGGGTAACTGCCATGAAGGCCAGAAACACACCTGTTTCATGTGTGTGGATAACTCTACACATTTTCAGACAACAAGAAAGTAACAATAACCTGCTACAGGTTTGAATAATATAACTATGCATGGCACTTTAAAATATTTTCAAAGCATTTTCACATCTATTATATAGTTTGATCTTTCTGATAATATCATGAGGTAGGTTGGACAAGTATATCATCCTAATTTGGTGGATGAAAAAACTAAGGCATAAAGCAATTAAGTAAACTTGTGGGGCTGGATAGGGAGATGCCAATCTCTATACTGGGTTGTCTTTAGTAATGACGAGAGAAAGTCTGAACACGTTTAGTGATCTTATTTCAACATGTTTTGAGGAAATACTTCACACCATCCAACTAAATGACAGTGATTCTGTTGGAGTAGCTACAGGACAAGTTATGGCATGTAATTCACTACACAAAACACTGAGAGTCTTACAAACTTGAATTATAACTGAAAAGCACAATTAACTCCTAATACATAGGAAAATGTGCTGGTTTCTTTTATGTCTTTAATACAATCCAGCTTCACAGTGTGAAATACACATTTTTTTTTTGGCTCTTGCAGAGATAAAATGAAAAATTTCAGTTCACTATGCAAAAAAAGAAAGTTGAGCTCTCTCTCCCAGAGTGAATGGACATACATGTCAAAAGTTGGTTCACCTTTCTATCAAGAGCTAATATTGAGAGAAAGTCCAGTTTAGTTACCACACATGTGTCTTTATAAAAAGGTGAAGTGGGCTTGGGAGTCTGACACTGTTAGTTTGATTTTGGGTCATTCAAAATGCTTAGCTATCTTATAAATTATAGATTTACAATATGTTTTGAAAGTAATACTTTGTAATTCTTTTGGAGACAGGCTTCTAAACTGAAGCTAGAAAGTAGTCTCTGAATCCTTGTACAAGTCTGAACATTCCTAGTCAGAGGCAGTCTGGTGGTTGCTCAAAGGCCTTGCTTCCAAGGCATGACCTGAATAAGGCATTTCAGATGGAAAAGGGGCTCCATCATCTCTACCCTTAGCCACTGCAAGGCTTCAAAGCAGCAATTTCTATTTTTTGTTCTACTTGGAAATCTTAGCAAGTCTTAATATGTTAGTGTTTGATATATGGCCTTAAAGTTCTATCCAAGCCAGCTAAATTGCATAGCGGAAGAAATTTATTTATTTTTGTTGGTTGTGGGTCTTGAACTTTGGGCCTGGGTGCTGTCCCTCAGCTCAAGGCGAGTGCTCTACCACTTGAGCCACCGCGTCACTTCCAGCAATTACTTTCTCATGAAAGATCTTGAAAATATCTGGTGTCAAGAAACATAATGAACTGGTTTGACAGAAATACTGGAATGACTTGAGTGACCTTGCTTCTCTCCTAACCATTATAGAACCTCTCTGTTAATTAGGAAACAACCAGGAAAGGATGTGCTAACATCTTGTCTATTTTAGCTGTGGCTTTTAGCATCATTACGTTTTTCATTATTACAATTGTGTATATATGCACATAGAGAGATCATGAAAATGCATGTCATATAAAAGAATCCTTTTGGTTATGCATGCTCACTGTTCATTGAGGCTTCTTAAACATAGGGCAAGTGGTAGTTGATGGGATAACAAGAAAAGCATAGACAATATTAAGTGTTATTGTTATTTGATTATAAATATGCAAAAATATGATCTATTTATTGCCTAGTCATTCCCAAAAAATTAAACCACAGATATCGATAAACCAGGAGAAATTTAAATGAGGAAAAATATCTCATAAAACTAAAATTTAGGGGGACTGGGAAGGTGGCTCAGTGGTAGAGCGCTTGCCTTGCATGCATGAGGCCCTGGGTTCAATTCCTCAGCACCACATAAACAGAAAAGGCCGGAAGTGGCGCTGTGGCTCAAGTAGAGCACTAGCCTTGAGCTGAAGAGCTGAGGGACAGCACCCAGGCCCAGAGTTCAGGCCCCATGACTGGCCAAAAAAAAAAAAAAAAAACCACTAAAATTTAGGATCTATAGTTTAGGACCATATTGATGTCTATACTGGCATATATGAAACTGTATAAATATTAATATTAAACTGTATAAAATATTAATAACTCTTTCACTGGAGACCATGTGAAAGAATATTTAGTTTTATGGATCCCTGTATTTACCAAATCATGTTTTTACCTTTGTGTTTGAAATTACTTATAAATTTGTTATCAGTAACTATTTAAAAAATTATTAGAAATGTTACAACCAGTTAATTATGCTTTGTGGGGGGGGGGGGGTCCATACATTTAAAGATGTGGATCCCTGTTCCCTCTGGTAGATTTCATAAATAGAGCCTCCTTTGGAAGTTTCTCAGATTAGTGTGATTTTTTTTTTGATCATCTGCTTCCAGGTATTTCACTATTAAGATTTTAGTGGTTGTAGTCATTTTACTTTAGTTGATTCTAGTCATTTCCCAGAATGATTGAAAATATGCTATCCAATCCTCTTTAATGAAACAAATAGAATTCTTCTATTTTCACATTAATGGAGAAATTATACAGAAGATAAAAGAGTATAAGAAACTCATGATGGAGATTTTGTTCAAATTAATTCACAATTCTGCTATTCAAAATACATTTCAAAAAAGAAAGAAATCTGGTCATCTCAACTCTTTATACAATTTAAAAATTTTATGAAGGCAATCTCTAAGAGTGGTGATGAGGAAAACCTTTTCATGTCAAATAATAAAAATTAAAATGCTTTATATGCCTGTGCTGAGAGATTTCTGTAGAGTTTTGTTGAAAATTTTAAATTGAGGTAAATCGTGTCTAAAACTCTCCTAGCAGGCAATCAATGAGGATGGAAGAGGGAAGACTGAACTTTATTTAGCTCTTTCCTCAAAAGGTGAATCCTAGTGAATTCTACTAGGAATTTCCCAGAATCCTAAAGTAAGAATAAACTTTGAAGAGGTTTAAGCCTACCTTCTAACTAGTTCACAGCTTTGAACTGAGTAGGTAAGAATTCTACCTATATAACCTTCAGTCATTTCAGTAACAATTCTCTTGTTCTAAATTTCTTCACCATACAGGAGGATCACGCCTATCAAAATTCTAGGGCTTCTTTAACTACATTTAAAATTCAATTTTACAGCTATGGATCCCAGGAAATAGTCTCCAAATCAATTCCAGATAGCATGCCATGGTAACTACAGTTGGCTATGTACAAAAAGACATAACAAGATGAAAATAGAACATGTTTATTTAAAAATCAAATTTGAGCAGTCCTCTTTGTAAGCAGTGACAAGAATGATGTTGCTGATAGCGGAACTCCAATAACTTTCTCTGGTCAACAGGATGATACTTCGATGAAAATGTTCAGGGATAAAAAATCATCAGGTTACTAGACTAATAGTCCAGAAAACTATAAAATTAGTAAGCTCTTCACATTCTGCCTGATGGATCTAAACAACCCAGTTCAGATTTTAGGGGTGAGTGAAAAAATCAACAAAAAAACAAAACGTAAGACCCATAAGAATGTACCATGGTTACTTGTGAACTGTGGTTAGGATACCAATTCATCTCTTCACCCCTTCAATTTCAGGTTTCTCTATCTCAGTTCCCACATACTCAAAGACCCTATAAAGAGCAACAGCTCACAAGGAGTTGACAGCTAACGTCCTGCCTTGTTCCCTGTGCAGGGCTCATTACTTACAAAGAACAGGTATGAACTCAAAAACACAAAAAGCCTGTGGACTGGGAAACTTCAAAGTTCATTAAGCAGAGCATATATCATCAGCACTCAAGGCCTGAGTGGGATCAGGACTCATTTTGCTGCTAGAAGGTGTTTCATCTTGATCTGTGGATGATTTTACTTCTGTTTTTCCTGCTGACTCACAAGATTCCTGCTTCCTGCAGGCCCAGCAGAAACACCTGAGCCATGCCCGAAAGCTTTCAGAAACACTGGATGAGAAGAGCTTTTTGCAAGGGTGGAAGAACTGATAAAATACGAGCATGAAGAGAATGGCTGCACAGTATCCAATTAGCAGCTGCAGAATCAACAGAGGTGCACACACATATATGTAGATGTCAGTCTTGAAGAGATACCACAGGAGCAGGAGGATGGAATTCTCAATGAACCTCATCATGTAGTATACCAGCAGCCGGTACCAATTCTGGGATTTGCTGATGAGTTCAGGGTTGTCAAGCTTCAACTGAACAGCTGACCAGCAGAACATGTTGATACCAGAATAGAGTAATGTGAGGAAGCACAGTGCGATGGTTGTGCCCACCCGACTGAAGGCCTTCTCTATATTCTCCGGAAATGGAGAGCCACTGAACCAGAAAAGGATCCAGGGATACAAGAAGAAGCTGAAGAAGTTGACAAGTACGACAAGCACAACCCAGGTCTTCATGACAGAAGCAAAGAGGACCAGAACAATGACACGAATGGCAATCTCAAAGCTCCTCCAGAGGAAGATACAGACATAGGCTAGAGGTTTTACTTTAACCTCGTACTCATCGTATTTGATTTTGATGGCTAGGATGTTGCAGCGCAAGGCTCCATACACAATGGACAGCAGGGACAAAGTCATGAACACACCTGGGGAGAGAAGAGAAAAGAACATGTGAACTCTCAGCTCTCTTTGGATATTCCTGTGGCAGATAGACACTCTGTCAGTCCTCTTCACATAGTTCTGGATCCTTTCATTTTACATGCTCAGGCTGATTTTCAACTACCTATATTTCCTTCCTGATGACTTTCTCTAGAACTATAGGCTATACTGCCTACAGTCCTGTAGCCCTGAAAGAGTTCCCAGTACCTGAAAGCCATCCCTGATACAACCTGGAATACAAGTAACCTAGCTTCCCCACACCTTAGATATAATGATTCTGAGGCATATACCATGCACCATTTCCAAGGTTCTCTTTGTATGATTTAACCTCTAGTTTCCTACTGTGATACTTGTCTAATGTGTATCTCTTTACTATCTTCCCTTCTCTACCTCATTTTCTTCTCCCTTGTTCCTTACACCTTTCCCTTTAAAACACAGGGACTCAAATGATTCTCTCATAATCTGCTTCAGAGACAACTTAAACTAAAACACTTTTCTGATCTCTTTCCTTCCTGCCTCCCTTGGTCAGTGTGAATATGTAGTCTTTTACATGGTATGCTTTTTATTTCTTTTTATTTTTGTCAGTTGACCTATAAGCATCAAGGAATTGAGACCATATCTGATACTTACTCGCAAACTGAAGACACTCGACAATACATTTCTGAGTATGTTCCTTGACTTGACTACAAGTATGTTTCTTCAAACTTGACTACAAAATGTTCATTTCACTTGCATTCCTAAATTTTGCAGAGATCTGAAGCTGTGAGACTCTGTGACTGAGAGTTGATCTGTGTTGGACGGAAAGGCCTTAGCATTTCGAGGAATCTCAATTCTAGCTGTTTATTGTTTAAAATGATGTATGGCTAATGGGTTGATCAAGAGTGTACAAACAGTAGTAGTTTGGAGGCAATAAGATGTGCCCCATTTTACTGGAAGATGGTATTATGTTCCAGTTAACTACAATGGCCTTGAGTTCTATTACCTAAGCAGAGACTGTATGTTAAAAACAGAAATTTAATCACTTCCTACAGGCTGCTACATTCTCCAGAAATTTGCACAAGGAGGGATGGGAGGCAGTGATTTGAGTCAGAAACCAAGAGTCTGGCTCTGATTTGGTTTTTGGCCATACCAGTCCATATTTAGCCCAGAGTGCTAGCCTTGAGCAAAAAGGCTAGAGGATATTTTGCAGCAAGCACCCAACCATAGAGTGATGTGATTGAAGTCATTTTTTGATGTAGATATCTAGGAATTCTATCACTAATTTTTAAAAAGATCAAAAATTTCCATTATATTGCCTTTTCCTCCTTGTTGAAGATCAAAAATAGTTAATTATATTTAGGTGTGCCTATTTCTAGGCTCTCTATTCCACTGATGTACTTTTTTAATTCTTTTGCCAGCACTGTAATGTCTAAATTAGTATAGCTTCTTAAAATGCACTTCCATATAATTCTATCCATGTAACAATATTATTTCTAACCTGACTTATAATGCATCAGAATAAAATATTTTTCTTTTTTTAATTCAAAATTAGTAGGGAAAAAAATCTTGTGTTTGGGGGCTGAGAAGGTGGCTCAGTGGTAGAGTGCTTGCCTTGCATGCCTGAGACCCTGGGTTCGATTCCTTAGCACCACATAAGCAGAAAAAAAATCTTGTGTTTGGCAAGTATAAAACATCTGAAGCCTTGGTATTGATTTACCTGGAAAAAGCTCAATTTTACTGATAACATCAACTTTTCTCAGTGTTTGGCACTGATTTCAATGACCAATATCATTCACAGGAAAGATGGATACTTATTAATCAAATTTTAAAAACAGAAACATTATCACCAGAGTAGACTGCAAAGTAATTGGCCTAAAATACTTTTTCCTGAGGGGCCAGTTCAATGGAACATTGTCAAGCAGAACATATTAATGATGTACTTTATGTGATGTACTTTTGAAAGTGTGGTTATGAATTCTCATACCCTAAGGATCCTACCAAATATACACAGAACAAAATTAATACACTAAGAATAGCCTATTACATTCCCTCTAGCATTCCATGACACCAGCAGTCCAAATCATCCTATCCAGAAATGTCCGCATCAGCTAGTTGCCTACCTTCTCTCATCATACCCAGATAGATCTCTAAGTTCCTGCTACTCTGTGTAGCTCATGGGCCAATAGCTTTGGCATTGATGTTAGAAGTACCCTAGCACATGCTGCCCAAGTCAGAATCTGAATTTTTACAAGATGTTCTAGGTTATTTGTATGCTTGAAGTTATTTTCTCCTTTTCCTTTCTGGTTCTATCATATGTTTCTCTGATGCTAACCATCTTCTTTCTTCCTTTTCATTTGCCTGGTTAAACCCACTTTTTTTTTTTTTGTCAGTCATGGGGCTTGAACTCTGGGCTTAATGCTATCCCTCAGCTCTTCAGCTCAAGGCTAGTGCTCTACCACTTGAGCCACAGCGCCACTTTCTGGTTTTCCGGTGGTTTATTGGAGTCTCACGGACTTTTCTTCCTGGGCTGGCTTTGAACTGTGAACCTCAGATCTCAGCCTCCTGAGTAGCTAGGATTACAGGCGTGAGCCACCGGCGCCCAGCTTAACCCACTTGTTCTCTAAGGCTTAGTTAGTGCCCCCTCATCAAGGGATTCTTTCCACAGCCATTATTTATTCCTTCAGCTTTGCTAAAAGCTCCCATGACTCTCTCAAATCTAACTTAACTGGCACTGTACTGGGATCTCACATTTATCTTTATATCATCATTTGAAACCTTTGGGTTACTTTTTTCCCCAGTAGAATATAATCTCCTTGAGGTGCCTACTATTTCACGCAGACATTGTGTGCGTGTGCTTGTCCTGGGGTTTAAACTGAGGGCCTCAATGCCGTCCTTGAGCTTTTGTGCTTAAGGCTAGAGCTCTACTACTTGAGCCACGGCTCTCCTTCCAGGTTTTTTGGTAGTTAATTGGAGATCAGAGTCTCACGGACTTCCTGCCCAGTCTGGCTCTGAACGGTGATCCTTAGTTTTCCTCAGCTTCCTGAGTAGCTAGCATTCCAAAGAAGCAGAATGCTAATTATTGAATGTTAACTCCTTTGTACAACTACTTAAAGATAATAACGGTAATAAAATATGCTTTTTAAAAGTTTCTTCATGTAGAGAAAAATAAAAGAAAACATCTTTAAGATTTTTTTCAGTATCCAATCTAAAAATATTCTTTGAGGTACATAAGAGGTCTGCTAAATGGGGACACAGCATCAAGACAATATTCTCTGATCTCAAGAGTACAAAAGGAAGCCAAGTGCTGTTCCAGAAGTTAAGACAAATTAAATTATCTTGGAACTGTTGTGCTTTCCTGGACAGTTAACAAGATTATGGTTAGCTGGATTCTATGGCTTTCTCTTTGAGGTTAGACTTCAATACTCATTCTAGAACCTATTGGTATTCTGCCTTCATTTACCCCAGGCCCAGACAACTAGTCAGCAAATTGTTGATGAAGTTTAGTGATACCATCATCATGTGCTTATACTTAACCATCTGCCAGTCAATCCTCCTGGTTACTATCACAAATACTGCAAAGGGTTCATAACTTTAACAGCTTTAGTGAGGTATAATTCATAAATTTAAAGTAAATGATAAGGATTAGATTATTTACAAATTATTTACAACTATCACTTGTTAATTTTTGTACATTTTGATTATTTCACAAAGAAATCTTATGCCCCTTCAATGATGCATGATCCCTCTTCTAGCTATAAGCAGCAACTAATCTACTTTCCATTTCTATAGATATCTCTAGTCTGAACTTTTAAATGAACAATATTAATGTAACATACACATTATGACTGATTTCTTCCTCTTAGCACAGTGTTTTTGGGGGTCATCCAAATTATTGGATGTATCAGTCCTTCACTTGGTTTTTATAACCAAACACTATTCCAACGCATGAATATGAAAGACTTTATCCACTCATCAGTTGCTAGACATTAAAGTTGCTTTCAAGTTCTACCTATTGTGACTAATGCTGCTATAAATATCTATGTACAAAGGTGAGTGTGCACATACTTTTCTTTTCTAGGAGTGGTTGCTAGGTCATATGGTAACTTTATGTTTAACTAAGGAACTGCCTGACTATTTTTCAAAGCAGTTGTAGCATTTCACATGACAAAAAACAATATATGAAGATCCCAATTTCTCTGCATCCTCATTAACATTTTTATTATTCAACTTTTGATTTTAGTCATTTTATTTGGTGAGAAGGCTTTAAAATTGTGATTTTTATTTGTGTTTTCCTGATGATTTGAGAATTTACAGCATGTTTTCATGTGTTTATTGGCCATTTTTATATCTCTCTTTTCTTTCTTTTTTTGCTGGTCCTGGAGCTTGAACTCAGGACCTGGGCACTGTCTTTAAGCTCTCTGTGCTCAAGGAAAGCGCTCTACCACTGGAGCCACAGCACCTCTTCTGACTTTATCTGTTTATGTGGTACTAAGGAAATGAACCCAGGGTTTCATGCATGCTAGGCAAGCACTCTACAGCTAAACCACATTGCCAGCCCCTCCCTTTTATTTCTTAACTATGGATCAAATTCATGGTAGATTTTACATTTTTCTGTAAGTATCCCAAAGTTTGCCAGAATTCAAAGGTCAGATCTCAACAGACTACTACTGAATAAAATACTATACGTACAGCTGGCAATAAGCATTTAAAATGAAAAAAAAGACACCAAAAAGAAAAAAGAGTTTACATTCTGGTAGTAGCAGACCAGCTGGTTTTTATCTAATATTCCTTCAAGGAACTGGACAAATAGCTGTTCAATCTCATCAGAAATCTGTCAAAACAATGAGTAGTTTGGGGGTTAAGATCTCAGGTAGAAGAAAAACCCTCAGGGAGTAGGTTGAAGCTAGTTTTCACATCCAGATATTTGACCAAATGAAAGCAAGTACTAAGAGACTAAGAATCTAAACAAAACTTTTCAGCAATCTCTTAAACTTCTGGGTGTGGGAGC